GGGGGTTGGCTTCTTTCATTTAGCTTTACTTTCCCAAGTTCACCCGTGTGGTGGCATGTCCTTTTGTATGACTGAATAATACTCCTCTGAATGGATATACCAGGGTGTGTTTACTCATTCACTAACTCTTGGGCAATGAATGAGTAGTTTCCAGCTTCGGCTATGTTAACTAATGTTGCCGTGACAGTCCACAGGCAAGTGTTTGTTCAAACACCTTTCTCCAGTTCCTTTGATTATATTCCTAAGAGTACATTGCCCGTTCACATGGAAATCCTATATTTATTTGTTGATCCATTGCCAAACCCTTTTCCACAGCAACATATGAGGGTTCTGACCTCTCTACAGCCTCATCTCTAGCAGAATGAGTTTTATTATAACAATGGGAAAGAAAAAAGTCTGAATTATTTAGGCTTCATTTATTTAATGGTATTCCATTAAAACAAGAACTGGAAACGGGTGAGCATTTTAATGCAAAATACATCATAGCTTTTGAGATTTGTGAAAAGCAAAGGTTGCTTAACACATGGGGATAAATTTGGTCATTAGTTCACATCTATGGACCATATAAATAACAAGATCATAAAACCCATGGAGCTGCTGGTGGGTCTGCCCCATGATATGATTCATCAGGCATATTTTTCCCTGTAAAAATAGTACAATGGCCCATCTCAATGACATCTGGACTCATCTGCATAAAATGAGCATCTGAGGTCATATTATTATATCACATTCTGTGCCCCATCCGACCCATAAAGGCATAAGTGGGTGCTTCTGAATGCATTAAGAAATTTTATTCATGCCTTCTATTTTTTTAAGTGACACAGAATGTTGAGACCTGGCATCATTTCCCTTCTACCAAGCCATGAACGTGCCATCCACATCAGAAGTCTAAATAAGTGCTCATTGATCTTCAGGGAGATTCAAACAACACTTCAGAAAAATAAGCTGCTTAAGAGGTGTGTTTCTGTAGATTTGTGGACCAAGATAACACACAGCAGATTGAATTTCATTTCACATTCGATACAATCAACCAAGTCATCGAGATTTTATGGCCTCATTTACTAACCTCAGGTAGGGAGGAATGGTGTCTGTGGCTCTCCAATTTCTGATCCACCATGCATCTTAAGAACAGATTTATTTAGTTGAGGGTTTTATAGGGCAAATGAAGAATAATGTGTATGGCTTCCCAACTCTATGATGACAAGGGAGGGGTAGGGGCAGAGTGGAGTGCTATGACCTTTGTCTTTCACACCTCTATTTATTTGTTCTTGTATGCAGTGGTTAATACTGGTGACACGGTATGGTGGTCTGAATGAGAATGACCTCCATAGGCTCAAAAACATGAATGCTTGGTCCATAGTTGGCGGAACTGTTTGGGAAGGACTAGGAGGTGTGGCCTTGTTGAAGGAGGTGCCTTATGCTGGGAGATCAAGATGCGAACTCCCTGCTAATGTTCCAGCTCCATGCCTGACAGGGCTGCTGTCATGTTTTGTAACATGATAGTCATGAACTCTAGCTCTCTGAAAATGTGATTCCCAAATTAAATACCTTCTTTTATAAGTTGTCCCAGTTACGGAGCTTTGCTATGGCAATGGGACACACAAATGGTGATGAGATGAGGAAACACTACTGCTTTCCCTTTGGGAGTGTTAGTTTCTGGTGAGTTTCATGAGGTGTCACAGCTGTATTTTGCAGTTAACTGTTGCTACATAACAAAGTGCCCCCAAACCGAGTTATGTTAATCAGGACACAGTTATGCTCTCAGTTTTGTGAGCCATGGAGGAGGGTATGAGATAGAGACACAACTCCATTCTCTTCTCCAGGGACAGGGTTGCATTGGGGGTGACTTGGATGAGGCAGGTGGTTGAGACCTTGCAGATGGAATATTCTTATGGATTTCTCATGGACATGAGCATGAATACCCATTCCCCACCTCTTCTCTTTGTTGTATCTTCTGTTGTCAGAATATCCTGGATGTTGGTTTTCTTAATTTGTTTTTCTTTATTTGTATGTATAGATGGATAAGTAGGTGGAAGGATGGGTGGGTGGGTAGATATGTGGGTAGACAGGAAGGCAGATGGATGGGTGAATGGATGGATAGGTGGGTAGATGGATGATGGATGGATGGATGGATGCTTGCATGCAAGGACAGACAGACGGATGGATGGATAGTCACATTGCATCTACAGACAGGAAGCTGTGAATGATGGGCACTGGTGCTCAACTCACTTTTTTTCCCCATTATCCAGGATCCTAGGTCATGGAATAGTTCTACCCACATTCAGAGTCTTCCCACCTCAGTGGGCCAAATATCTATAAACTCCCTCACAGATATGCCCGGGGTGTCCTAGATGAATCTAGATCCTAGCACTTGACAGTCAATATCGATGATGACAAGTATCTTACAATGGCAGCTAGCTTCATGCAGAATGACCTTGCCCATAGACTCCAAACCTTTTATGTGCTGGACATAGGAAACATAGAGAAACTATTCTGTCACTGGGGCCAGGTAGACTCACAGGGAGTGTGAGCTTCCACTTCTCAATGGAATGAGCTGCAATAGGTGTGTGTGTGTGTGTGTGTCTGTGTCTGTGTGAGAGAGAGAACATATATAAAGGAATATGTAATATATACATAATATGTATATGAAAATGTATAAGAATATATATAAAAGAGCACACTTGCTTAAAAAATTTTAACTATATCTATTGTGTGCATGTGGGGTAGAGAGTTGCACATGTCAACTGCATGTAAATAATAGAACTCACCCTGACTCCCTACCATTTCAAGGACTTCCTAGCTGTTAACAGTGAGAGGGTGGGCAGTGTTTCTCACTGCCTTTGCCTGGAAGCATGTTCTCCTAAGCCCTGCTACTGTGTGTTGGAATTAGTTGATGATTTCTGGGACCCTGGAGAACTTTAGAATTGTGTTTATGTGGTGGCCTTACTGAGAATGTCTAGGAGATGTTCTTTGTTGGCTTAAAAAGTATAGGTTTACCTGGAAAATTATGGACTATTCTATAAGGAAAGGAATTTGAATATAAGAAAAGGCAAAGGAATCAGTTCAATAATGTTTATTGATCTCTGACATTCCATGTGTTTGAGACAGAGCAGAAAACAGATTAAAAACTACCTCTGGGGGCTGGGTAAGTGATTTAGTAAATGTGTTTGCCAGGCAACCATGAGGACCTGAGTTCAGATCCCAGCACTCACATATAAAACCGGGCAAGGTGTCATGTGCCGGTAATTGTAGCACTGAGAAAGCAAATACAGGGAAACCCATGGAGGCAGCTGGCTAACCTGTCTTGCTGCAACAGTGAGCTCCAGGTTCAGTGAGAGATCCTGTATCAAAAAGGAAAACATGAAGAAACTTAGGAGAATATCTAATATCAACCTCTGGCCTACACACACACACTCTCTCTCTCTCTTCTCTCTCTCTCTCTCTCTCTCTCTCTCTCTCTCTCTCTCTCACACACACACACACACATTCATAGACACAGAGACACTCAAACATTCAACACATTAATATTCATAATCATATATACAGATAAACTCATACACATACCCATACACACATGCACATATTTAAACCCATATTCACTCTCATACTCTTACACACATGCATACATGCATGCAAACTCATACACATTCATACATGCACAGATACACACTCACACACATATAACGATGTATAGACACAAGACACTCACTCACCCATTCATATTCACACACACAAACTTATCCACATACCCATATACAAATGCACACATGTAAACTCACACATACTCACACCCAAATCTGCTCTTACCAAGTGCATAGGAAAGACACAGCGATAATAATAAATAAGTCAAGACTTAAATTTTAATGTCAGATGGTACTTGGTGTGAGAATGGCACTGGTTGGAAAACATGGCCATTGCCCCTTCACAAACTTTAATGGCAAAGGCCATCTGCTTAGGGAGGAAATAGCCACCTGCATTATTGTAAGTGTAAATCTAGCATAGGGCCACACCCTGGCACCCTTTTGCTCTTTGGTTTATGAATACTGACCAAAAAGTCGCATCTACGGTGCTCAGCTAACTCTATCCTGTTATACTTCCCAGGGCAACTGGGCGCTCCATAGAGTGGGTTCCACATCTGTTTTTGCTGGTGAATGTGTCCTCAAGAACTCTATAGAGTTTGGAATAAGTATTTGGATGGTAGTAACCAGACACAACCTAGCTGTTACACTGTTGAAGAAATCCAGGTTCTATGAATTTGCCTGGTTGGTCCTTTGGATGTGCACCCTTGCTTTCCCCTTGGAAATGATGGATCAGTTTCCCATCCAGAGTTACCAGTTATGGGACCAGGGTGATGGCTTAGTTAGTAAACTGTTTGCTTTGCAAGTACAAGGACCTAGGTTTAATCCCCAGAACATGTGTGTCTTGAATTCATTGCTTTGGCTATAATGTAATGTAATGTGGCGTCGGCCAAAGGCAATTTAAGGGAAAATGGGGTTGATTCCAGCTTGGAATTCCATTGTGGGGAAATCAAGGCAAGAACTTCAAATAGCTAGTCATACCACACCCACAGTCAGGAGCAGAGAGAAATGAATGCATGTAGGCTCACTTGCTTACTTGTATTCTTAGACAGTTCAGGACTTCCTGCCTAGGGAATGGTTTCACCCACAGTGAGATGGGTCTTCTCACATCAATTAACTTAAGACAGTCTCTTGTGGATCAACCCTCACTGAGACTCTCTTCCTAGGTGTCACATTGACAATTAAAGCTGGCAATCCCACCAAGTTAAAAATAAAAGTGGCGTGCACTTGTAATCCTGGCACTGGGTAATTGGAGACACTCTCTGGGATGCATGCGTGCTTGAGCCTGTGTGTGCGTACATGCACACACGTGCCGCACACACACACACACACACACACACACACACACACACACACACACACACACACACACAGAAGAGTCAATAGTACCATTTTTACATTTCCTTCTTTGTCTTTTCACAGCTGTGCAGTCGCTGCACACTCTAAATGACCAGATTTCCCATTTCATTGTCACGAAGTCAAAGGCACTGGAGGAAGATGACGACCCTTTTCTACCCATGGAGAAAGAGACACTGAAGAGCTCCATGATATTGATGAGACACCTTTTAATGGATGCCCAGGTACAAAGATCAGTTGAGGGTGGCCCAAGATTGTCCAGGGTTTTGTCATTATGACCTGACAGTATCATCTAAAAAGGCCACACTCATGAATTGCACTCTCTAGTTACCAAAAAACAACAATGAAAATATCACAGAAATTATCATCATGTTTTATGCAAGTTCAGGATTTTATATTGTGTCTCATTCATGGCTATTGTTGACCACAGGTTGGACATGCCTCTAATGCATTCGGGATTGTCTTTGGGGTTTCTTTAAATGTTTTGCTTGGCGAAATAAGATATACCAGGATGTTAAACTATCAAACCAACCGCCAGTCACTTTTGCCATAAACAACTTGTAAGAGGCAATCAGATACAGTTGAGGATTGGGCTTTTCATTTAGTTTTGCTGTTTTGTTTTTTTCTTTAATTCAGAGCAATGGAGCTTAAAAATAATGTGTGTATTGCTTTTGAGAATGGAGAACATCTCCCTTCAGTGTTGGGAAAGAGAAAGAATGCGTTTACATACAAACTTGGCAGGCATCAAAACTGGCAAGGGTGTCGGAATGGAGCAAGGCCTGATCCAAAATGGTGTCTCTGAGCAGCTGATAAATATCTAGTTGTGTAAGATGTGCCCCTTAGTAAATGAAGCAGCATTTTAAGACACTAGCAACGAATATGCTGCAGGGGGATTTGCTCATTTCACACTATTGTTGAGATTTTTGTTTCTCAAGGTTTCTCCTCATATGCTGTTTCATTGAAATATTTAAAAGTAATCTTTCTTCTCCTTCTGTCTTTGTTACTGGGTCTCTCCAGATATGTTGATGGGCAAACACCAGGTGTTTTAAGATCCGGGTGGTATTTTCTTTGGTTAAAGCAAACTGCTCTAGAATTCATTGTCATTTCTGCCTCTTGGGAATCTGGAGGTATTTTTAGGAAACCGTCTTTGGTTTGGGGTATTCTTGTGCGAAGTGCCTCCGAAGTGTTTTTCTGAAGCTTGCTTTCTGTTGAACAAGTGAGGTCAGTACCGCTGCTCCCTGACTTCTGCTCTGGGTGGGAGAGTTTTGAGCCATGGCCTCTCCACGTTTTGTTTCTGCAGGATGATGTTTTGTGTTTTATTGTCTATGATCAATCTGGAAATCTGGATTTCGTCTCACCAAGGCTGTAGCTTGTGGGGCCTGTCTACATTCCTCACCTGTCAGTGTTTGAAGCTGCCCCATGGGATCTGAGCCCCTCTGTGAAGGTGCCCCACATTATGCAAAGCCTTTCATTTAAATTCTTATTCTTCCAGCCCCTCTTTTTAGCAAGCAGCCATTCAGCCTTCCCTTCCTTCCCAAGCCTGTCTGGGGGAGAAAAGAAGGCTTCTAAAGCCACAACAGCCAATTTTAAGACTTGGAAAAAAGGGGAAATTTAGAGCAATTTACTGAATAAAGAAAGCAAATTGTTCCTGAAAGCGTAGCTTTGCTCAATGCCTGGACCCAATCCGATAGCTGACATCGCAGCCCAGGGAAGTGTGGAAATGAATCCCCAAGGAGAGTATGTATGTTCTAGTTTGCAAAATCCCAGAGAATAAAAGCCTCCTCATTTCTTTTTTTTCATCTGAATTTACTAATGCAGAGTGCTGAACTTTTAAAAACCTTTAGCATCAGGGGGAAAACAGGCCCCCATGGCTGAGGGCCATGGAGGAGTGAGTCCCCAACACAGTGGGGAACTAGAGCTCATAACAGTGCATTTATTATTATTATTATTTTGGTGCTTTGAGAAGGGATCTGACTAGGTAGCCCAAGCTGGTCCTGAACTCACAGCATTCCTCCTAGGGTTCCAGGCATGCAGCACCTGGTGAATTCATTGCCAGTTTTATTGATTACTGGAAGAGAGAAGATTTTAATGCCCCAGAACAATGGCATGCTTAAGAAGCTGGGAATATTATTCACCCCAGTTTGGCCCGCCCATGTTGAACCCATGTGATTTACCACCCCTGTACCCTGGAAATATGTATCATTACTATATGTCGATCCAAAACATCTTACATTGCTTAAGATTATTTCTCATCAAATATTGGACTGGCATCTTGAATTCTCCTTGGCATTGCCTTTCTTTCTTTCTTCCTTTCATCCTTCCTTCCTTTCCTTTAGGAGTTAAAGTATCCCATTTCACAAAGTTCCTGTGTTAGAATATTTTCTTGCCTCGTCTTCCTCTGTTCCTAAACAGACACAAATAAAATGTTCTCATTTTAACAAAGTACAATAGGGCTTTGTGGCTCTTCCTCTCTAGTCCTATACTCTACAATCAAGGAAAATTGTCACAGGAAGTTGGTCAAGCATTGTCTCATGGTGTCTAGGCACTCTTGTCCCAGTCCTCTTTCTGTTCAGAAATTGTTAGCTAAAAATCTTGTCTTTTAGATTTATAAAAGGATGAAGTAGGATGTACTTAGTTTAATTTCAAGACACCAGCCTCATAGCTTTACTTCCCAACAAGCACACTAACTTTCTGAAAGTTTTACTGAAATCAAGTAGAACCATGACCTCCCAGTTCCTTGGGTTGTACGAAATCTCTGGGTGTTCCCTTTTCAGTTTAATGCTACCAATTCCATATGATGGTGAGGAAATGACATTTTGTGGGTGACTGGGGTAATAGGTGGTTTTATTTTCTTTTAAGATTTATTTCATTTGTAAATATATGTATGTGGGTATGTGCACATGAGTTCACTGCATGCAGAGACCACAAGGGGGCATCAGATCCTCTGGAAATGGAGTTGCAGGCAGTTGTGAGCCTCATGACATAGGTTCTGGGAACTGAATTTTGAGTCATCTGCCAGAATAGCAAGTGTCCTTAACCACTGAGCATCTCTCCAGCTCCAAAATGTACTTTTGAGTTTTGTAGTAGACATCCAGAAATACATCTTTTTAGTGAGAATCTTCATTGAACACCCTAGTTTTGGATGAAATTCAGTTATTTTCCATCTATTTTTAAACATTACTTTGTATCTTTCTTCCAGAGACAGATGTGTATATTTATTTATTATTATAAGCTCAATAGTGGAGTATCAATAGAATGTTAATGTAGCCTGCAAACACAGCCTTCCTTTGGCTCTGCATTTTACAATATCAGTGGATCAGCCTGTAGGCTTGCATTTTATGGGCCAAAGTGGAGAATGAACCACATACCCTGACTTGGTGGGCTTCCTGAGTGTCTTAGTTCAGTGCACACAAGTCTCTTAATAGTATTCGATTGTGATGAGATTCTCTGACATCAGCCATATGTTGAATGAAGCCAGGAAAAAGAAACAAAAGTCTTGCAGAGAGCCTAGAGGCTGCTTGGAGAGTGTGCTTACAAGGCATAATCGATTCAAGTCACATCTGTCTTGGAGGCAATAAATCCTGCTTAGGGGAATGTCAAAGGCAAACGCACTGCTGTGCTATGAAATCCCACCTCTGAGGATTATAAAACAGAGTGCATGGAGAAGACACATCCCCCGGTTTAATGGGGGTGCCATGATGATTGGCAGGCCTGCCAACCTGCTCTGGAGAATACAGCATCATGGGAATAAAGGGATAGAGACAAGGCATCCCAAGAGGCCAATGGTGATGCATTCATTTCATAACTGTTTCTTTGCATGGTGGGTCTTTGAAAGAACCAAAGAACATAAGAGCCTCTATTTGCTCTGCATTACATCTTCAGTCCACAGCTCCGCCCCCCACCCCCAGGCCAATGAAGTACCCTATTCGGATGGCATTTGAAACCTAATCTGGTGGTTTTCATTCCTGAGAGCTCCCTCTAAACCCAAAATGCCAACCCAGTCTCGTAAGTGATTAGATTCATAACAGCAAAAAGGCAATTCTTTCTGGGAGAGATTAATTCTTTTCCTCGCACTGTGTAACTCTGCATGCTAAGAGGGGTCGATTACAGCAAATTAAATTTCCAAACAGCAACTCTGTCCCCCACCCACCAAAGGCATTAGGTCACTATTTGTCCAAGGAGAAGCCATGCTTGGGGAAACAGGGAGATGGCTGGGTTCAAAGTAAGGTCCTACTGTTGGAGGCTGAATTCCGACACATTTGTGTGCACATGGAAGACTCCTTATGCTGGCCCAGGGTGGTGGGTAGAGACAGGCTGAGGGAAGTTCCATTGCCGAAGGAGATGGTCTGATTTTAATAGAGGATGCACCATAGGACTGTCCCTTCCTATAGGTCCATGTCTAGGAACAAAGCAAGCAAACCTTTCAAAATAAAAGCAAACCATGTGCCTGACACCTGCAAGCAAGTCCATGCTTGAGCTATCTTAGTTACTTTTCTGTTACTGTTACTGTGATTACAAAAACCAAACAAATAAACTGCTCACAGTGCCGGAAGGATACAGTATGTGGGGGGGTGGGAGGGGATGGGGTGGCAGCAGGGACATAAAAGGTCAGCCAGTCACATTGCCTCTGTAGTACAAAAGCAGAGTGACAATGTGAAGGGGGGGGTCAGGCTTTAAAACCTCAAGGTTTTGTCCTCTAAGACCCTTTTCATCCACTGAGACTCCACCTCCTAAAGGTTCCACAACCATCCCAAGCAGCACCATGAGCTGGGGGCCAAGTGTCCAAACACATGAGCCTTTGGTGGTGGCGAAGGTGGGGGGGGCATTTCCCTTCCGACCACAATAAAAGTCAAGTACCTGGTGGGGAAAGAGTAAACCTGTGTATCCTTTGGGTTGGGCTTCCCTGGTTTTCTTTCTTCCCCTCTATTCTGCCTTTCCCTCTCCTTTGCTTTGCTCCTTTCTTCGGACCAGTCTTCCTTTCGGCTCTCTCTGCTGAAGCGTGCGTGCCAACGCCTTGCGTGTGCCTTTCCAAGCAGTGATGGCACAGCAGCAGGAGGTGGGGGGACGAGCAGAACACAAGCCTGGCAGACAGGAAGCAGCTTGGGGACCCTGCCAGGATCTGGGACGGAATATGGCCTGGCTTGCTTTGTTTTTCGTCTTTGCTTTGGAGAGAAGGCTTTAGCAAACTCCCCCGCAGGCTTAGACCCTCCGATTGGCTTCTGGC